GGTTCAACTTCCAGGGAAAGCCTTGTTTCCAATCCCTAAAATTACAAGCTGGTAACTGCACCATCATTTGAATTGTATGACATGAACCAGGATACAGACCCATTAATTCTAGTCTCCCTCAGCTTTTCAGCAGGTTTTATTTTATATACAACTGAATTCCTGCACAATGGAGAAGTAAAAGAAGCTGCCTCTACAGCTTCTATGTAGAACACAGCTCTACATAGTATAGAATAAACGTGGCAGAAAAGAGTTTTTGTGTTATACCTCTTTACCTCTTTCCCAACCCCTAAACTGCCACCTGCTTTCTATTGTTTGACTAGTAAAGTTGATATGAAGAACTAAAGAGTGGTGTAAACAAATGCACAATGTTTAATTTGCTTTTGATTCTACTCATACATTGTTATGCATTAAAGACTTCTAAAAAAATTAACAATTTTTAAATTGTTGTTAGTATAGAGAAAAATAATTCATTTCTGCACATCAATGTACCCCAATTATAATGCAATAAAATGAGAAATAAACGTCATAGAAGTAACAGAAAAATATCCTATAAATTTTAAACAAAGTTCTAAATAATTCAATGGGTGACAGAAAAATTATGAAAAAAATCACAATATATTTAGTGCTAAATAAAAATCGCTTCATATCAAAATCACCACATCCAGCCCTGGCTGATGTGACTGAGTGGATTGACTGCCAGCCTGAGAACCAAAGGGTTACAGGTTCAATTCCCAGTCAGATCACAAGCCTGGGTTGTAGGCCAAGTCCCCAGTTGGGGGTATGTGACAGATGACTGCATACTGGTATTTTTCTCCCTCCCTTCCCCTCTCTCTAAAAATAACTAAATAAAATCTTTACAGAAAAAATCACCACATCGTTTATAGTTCATGGTAAATGTACAGTTTTAAAGGCACATACTATATAAGAGTAGAAATTAAATATTAATGAGGTAAACCGCCAACATAAAAATTTTAAATGTTAGAATAAATGCAAATAGAAGAGAAGTATTACCAAATGAAAAGAAACAGAAAGGGGAAATAAGAACTACTTGAAAAGTCTTAATAATATAGCCCAAGTTACTGATAGTCCTGATCACAAATAAAGGAACAAATTAATCAAATTAGATATTTTAAAGTCATGACAGAGACCTGTATCTTATATCAATATATTTGAAAATTTGTATTTTTCTAAAATATTAATTTTATATAAATAACAAAAAAATCAAGAAAAGCCAAAAAGACTTACCACCATGAAAGAAAAGTAATAAATAAAAAAACCCCAAAAAACAAAAAAACAGGCAGTTTCACAGATGAATTCTAACTTTCAAGACATAGATTATCTCTTTTAAATACAACTTCTTTTAAAATGAAGAAACAATCCCAGTTCATCTTATGAAGTTAGCATAACCTTGTTTATTACCAAAATAATACAAAGCCTACATGAAAAAGGAAAAGTACATGGCATAGAATGCCAATATTCAGGGAATCCAAAGATAATTTAAAATACAAAATATAAGGCATCCAGTCAAAATGACAGACTAAAACTAATACAATATTGAATATCAATTGTAATTTTAACTTTAAAAAAAAAATTAAGAGAATTTATTAATGCAATTCATCAGACCAATAGAATTGCAAATGCGGGGCCCTGGCTGGTGTAGCTCAGTGGATTGAGCTCGGGCCTGCGAACCAGACAATCGCGGTTCGATTCCCAGTCAGGGCACATGCCTGGGTTGCAGGCCGGTTCCCTGCAGGCCAGTTCCCAGCAGGGGATGCGCAAAGGGCAACCATACATTGATGTTTCGCTCCCTTTCTCCTTCCCTTCCCCTCTAAAGATAAATAAATAATTTTTTTAAAAAGTTTAAAAAAAAATTGCAAATGCGCTGAAAAATCAATTCCTGTTCAGAATGAAAATTCTAATAAGCAGAGACTATAAACTAATAAATGACATCTACTCCCCTCCAAAAAAGACCCCACTAGAATATCATACTTAGTGATAAAATATTAGAAGCACTCCATTAAAGTACCTAGACCAGGATATCTGTTACCAATGCTTTTATTCAACACTGTGCTAGAAATGTTAGTGAATGCAATGTTAAGAAAAGAAACAAACAGGAGGCAAAAGAAATGGAAAATAAAGCTTCATTATTCACACACCACTACTTAGAAAATACAGAAGAATTATAAAGCATTACTCTCACATTTCATTAATTCTAAAGATATCATCAATTGTAACTTGCATTCTTATTTTAGATACAAATAAAAACACTGCCAATTAAAGTAATGCCATACTTCATCTAAAATTTTCGTTTTACACAGAGATAATTCTTTTAGACTTAATTAGACATTTTAATCATATCTTGTGCATATAGAAAGAAAAAAAGAAGAAATTGGTGGGGTACTCCTGAAACTTCACATTCAGGGCCCTACTATGGCTTACTTTTTACTCAAAGCTATTCAATCTTTCCTAACAATATTGCCCTCTGCCAAGAGTGTTGGTGATGCAGCATTTCTTAAAATGTTCCATCATCATCTTGGGGATTTTCTTTTTGGTCACACACCCACTTTGCCATTTCTTCTCCCTTCAGTTGTATTGTTTGGCATGAAATAACAGAACAATGAGCCCTGGCTGGTGTGGCTCAGTGGACTGAGTGCCAGCCTGCAAACCAAAGGGTCGCCAGTTCGATTCACAGTCAGGGCACATGCCTGGGTTGCTGGCCATGTTCCCAGTGCAGGGACGCATGAGAGACAACTGCACATTGATGTTTCTCTCCCTCTCAGAAAGTTCTCTCTCCCTCCCCCCTCTCTAAAAATAAGTAAATTGTATCTTTAAAATTAAAAAAATAGAATAACAGAACAATGCACATACTTACTTAAGTGATGACAAAATGAAGAGTGTTGACTGAGTTTGTTCATGTCTAGGCAATAACTATATCATGACTGTTGCCCAAACAATACTGATTATATAAGACACCTTCAATTCAAGATCTATTTTTATTTCAGAGATATTAAAATGTAAGGGGGTAAATGCATCTCAGAATTTATGAAATACAGTTGATATGAGAGTTCAGCAAGGTTAATGTCAATACATTTAAGTCCACAATGTTCCCTATATACATCAGCGAAAACTAAATAAAAAATCCTATTCACAACAAAAATTACACAGTATTTTGCAAAAATTTAATGAAAGTTGTGCAAGAGCTTTTCTAAAAGGCAGTGGAGTATGCTCAGATTCAAATCCCAGCTCTACTACTTAGCATATATCCATCTGTATCTATATATTTATTCTATAAATTTGATGCAAATGTAAGAAAAGTCCAACAGTTTTGCATAAAAATTGACACTGACCCAAAAATAAAGTTTTTAAAACCTGACAAAAACACATATTAAGATTTAATTATAAAATTATCAATATTAAGTCAGAGTGGTATAGTACATATACTCAACCAATGAAACTAGAAAAGAGAAACTAGAAACAGATATGTGTATGTGAGAATATGATAAACCTCAGGAGTTGCATTATGAATCAGAGGGGAGAAAGGCTAACTACTTGGCAAATCCACATTAAAAAGATAGATTCCTACATCACACAATAGAGGAAAAAAGTTCCAGATGAATTAATGACCTAAATATGAAAAAAGCACAGTATTATTATAACCTTGGGGTAAGGAAAAAAACATAAACTGTAAATGAAAAAAAACTGAGAAAACTCACTACCTTCACACTGAGAAGTCTACACACACACACACACACACACACACACACAATTCCATAAACTAAAAAAATAAGCCACAGACTAGGAAATGGTATTTTCAGTGTGTATAATGATAAATCATTAGTATCCAGAATATAAAAATATCCATAAGCCAATGAGAAAAAGGCAACAATCGAACAGAAAAATGGACCAAGAGGAAAAGCTCACCCTCACAAGTAATCTAAGATACACAAAATGAAATCAGCCCCGAGATACCATTTATATACAACAGATTGGAATACATGAAGTGTAAATGTAAAATATAAAACAATGCCACCCTTTTCACTAATTTTTATGAAAAGTAGTTTTTTTTAAGTAAGTTATTTATGTTTATATACAGTGGGCTTATTTTTTATGAATTTAAAAATATTTTTTAATGTCTCGAATTTAATTTCTAATGTAAATATCTATAGGTAGAACCCACATAAACAAAAACTCTTTGGGGTCTCAGTCTTAAGACTGTGAAAGGGTCCTGAGACCAAGAAGTCTGAAAACTTGGTACATACGTAATAAGATAGTGATTACTTCTGGCAAAGACAAGACAAAAAATGGAATGAGGAGCATTTTTTACATGGATTTATGAGATTTTCTTTCTTTAAACAAACAAAAATGTTAAGAATCAAATATATAATAAAATACTAAGATCTGTTAAATCTGGGTAATACTTGCTCTCTGAAATATTTGTAATTCTGAAATATTTCATAACTTAAATTAGACCTCCCTTTGGGCAATTATAGTTACAAGATACTTGGATTTTATTAAAAATTGTTTAGAAAAATAGTTTCACAGGAGTAAGAATACACTGGCTATATTAACCCCAAAGAGATAATCAAGCAGTAAAAGTGGGGTAGGGATTATTCAACTCATGTAGTATACCCCTGATCAACTGACTAGATGCTTGAATAGTTGAAAACTATTCAAATACATAAAACTCTGAACCCAATAACTGAAATAATTGTTTTCAGAGATAATGACCACATGCCAGGCACTGCTTAGAGACAAGAATAAAACTGTTTCTACATTCAGTGTTTAGAAAAGATGGCAAAAATATAAACACAGTTAAAATATAATAGACTAAATGCTAAGTTAAAGCTCTCCACATTGCTACATAAGACAGAGAAGAAAGAATGAGCCTGGGAAACATAATGATGCCATTAAGAGAAAGAAAGCTAGAAGCAGCTGTCGTTTTAGGAACTCTGGGTTAAAGAAAAATTTTTTCCAATAAATAGTTTTGGGCATCTACTTACTATGTGTCAGACAAATTTGCTTTCAGCCACGTTGAGACAATCGGACACCTGGGTGAAGTTGGTCAGTAGGCAGCTGAAAATGCTAGAGGAGAAACTAAAAGAGAGGATGGGCATGGTATGAAACACAGAAACCAGGGGAGAAGATTTGAGAAAAGAGGATGAAGGACTGGCCCTGAGGGAAATCTCATGATAGAAGACAGAGAAGGCACAGAGTTTCTGAAACAGAATATTTTTATATGACACACCCAGTAACATGCTGTGGAACAGTTTACTCAATTTAGGAATAAGTAGGATGAAAAGAAATAAAAGTATTGGAGAAAGAAAAAAGACAGGTGAGGTTTCCCACACGATGTGCAAACCTAAGAATGTTGATAAGGGGAGGGACAGGCACCAGCGGAGACAGAGGGCAATGATGCAATCGGCAGATTCACTGACTGAGCTCTGTCCTTTGGGACGGGTGGGGTACACAAGCAGAAGCAGCTGGGCCTGAAGAAGGCCAATTCTTCCTGCAGCGAAAAACAGGAGGGAGGAAAGCCGAGGTAGAGGCAGAGAAGAGCATGACGTGGAAGGAAGAAAATGCAAATGCTTAGATCAGATGATCATCTATGCTTCTGACTTAAGTAAAAGATTAGATAGGTAATCTCTGCTACAGCTGAGGGTTTCAAGGACGGGTTTAGGAGTTTCAGAGTAAAAAGGTCTGGAATCTCCAGTGCACACAAACACAGATAATAAAATCAAGGCCATCAGTCACAATACAAATACAGACGGGTTAGAAAGAAAGCATTTACAAAAAGCAATGTGGAAAAAACTGTTTTGATGTACTGTGAACATGTTTTTTAAAAAGGAAACTTGCAGCTATCTGAAACATCTGTATAACTTAAAAACTAACACCTCATTTACCCAAGATGACAGGGAAATAAGGTTTCCTTTCCTTCCGTCAGTTTTCCAGATCAAAGTCCATCCTGTCACGCAAAGAACATTTTATACATAACTGTTTGGGGTAGAAATCCTTCTAAACTATGCACTTCCCTGTCTTCTTTGTTATACAACTTGAGTTTAACAATCTTTATCTTGAATATCCACTCTTACCGTGCTAAAACATCTACTAATGCTACACCGTGTGTGCAATACAATTCTCTTTTGAGTTTTCTTATGTCTTCCCCAGCTGTCAAGATGGAAAGCAACTGGTTCTTCTAAGCGTACATTTATTCATACCACCTCGACAACCCACTCTGCCTTAGCAATGTGGTTGCAATGGGCCTCCTAACAATGCACTGTTTCTTAAACGTCTCTTAACCGTGGCCCTTTATGACAGCCATGAGAATCCCCAGTTCCCTCCTGTCCTCTCCTGGAGAGTAAATGCTCTGACCTGTCACAGTCTAGGAATGGACTGTGAATACTTATGTTTTATATCATAAAATGATAGGATACACATTCCCCACAGGCAGATCTATAACAGAGAGAGATTAATCAGAACATGAGGAGGCTTTGCTTAGCAAACATCCTTAGGTATTTTCTCAAACAAAAAGTTGGTTACTCTCAAGAGGGGTAAGAACAGAGGTTGCAAAGGACCATGTGAAGGCTGCTGCCTTTTTAGTAACCGGCTCTTCTAACCTACTTCTCAAACGTGACTTCCTAAAAAATTACCATGAAGAAAACTTACAGGTTCATTCCTCATTTTTGTAAAGTAATCCATGGCGCTAGCCCTATTTTTCACCTGGTGAATGAAAAGTTAGAAACCCCTCCCTATTTGTTTACTAGAGAAATTATAGTAACTGAACAAAAGGTTATTTGGAATAAGTTAGAATAGAAAAAAGGAGCAGTTATCTACCTAGCATATATGGATCATCGAAAGAGTAGCAAAATTAACTTCTGAACATTCTTCATCATCATTCCAGTAGTGAAAACACTAATGAGCTTACTACTCTCATTATTTTTCAACTTTGAAACTTTTCCCAGTCTAATGGAACTACTAAGTAAATATAACGTCCAGCTCAGGTGGGTCCTAACCTTGCTAATTGAGGGCTCCCCAGCCTCCCCCATCGAGTATAAGACTTTCAACCTGGCAAACAAGCTCTTCCACCATCCACCTTTTCTGGCCAGAATTCCCACCTCTCCCCTACCTACACCACCTATTCCAGCCAAAATGTAAATGCTTATTGTTTTCCAAAGAACGTTCAACCTTGAAATGCCCTTTCCCCACCTCCACCACTGCCCAACGAAGTCCTACCCATCCTTCAGACCTCAAAATGTCAGGAACACTCCCCTGATGCTCAAAAACAAACAAAAAAAAAACACACAAAAACTTGCCTTCCTCTGGAACCTCAATAATTTGTTGAACCTTTCTCGCAGCACTTCACCTCGTCTCATTTACCACTTAAACAACGAACTTCTAGCAGCCACACTGCATTACAAGAACCGTTTTAATCGTTCTTAGCACCCAAAACGATGCACTGCTAACACTGGGCGGCAAGTTTACAGTTGTTGTACGGTATGTAATCAAAAGAACTTTAAGGGATGGAATTAAACCTTCGAATTTTCCAAATCAAATAAAGAATCCTAAATACCATGACAAAAAAAATACTGCACCACATTGTTATCCTTCAATTAGAAATTTAAAAACTTTCTGCCCGTTCCTTACTCCAAAAAAAGGTAAATACTATCAACAGATCACTAATAGCTTAAATGCACCTTTTCAAGAAAGTTGTTTCCAAATAAATGGGTTCAAACGACTCCTTCAAAATGTTATTCCTCCGTTTCTGTGCTCTGCAATTTGCATTTTTTTCCCTATTGGCTAAAAGGGTGCTGAGAACTTCTTTCCTATCAAATTGTATTTCTATTGCTTTATTTAGAAACTGGAGAAGGCAGTGATTGGTGGAAAACAACCGCATCAAGGGCATCCTAACAGCCACGTATGACTTTGCTTGACTAATAACATGTCGTGGGGTGCCCCTTGCCGCGATGAGCCCAGATGTTTGGGCCAGAGCGAGGTAAAGGCGCGGGGCTGGGGGCGCTAAGGGACGAGATGGCAAAGCGCCTAGCAGGCGAGGATGGCTGCCTGCCGCAGTTCAGTTAATATGCAGCGGAAGCAACAGCCCATCACAGGGCTGAGCGAAGCAGGGCAGGAAGGTGGCGCTGCCGCCGAGAGCCTGGAGCCCATCATGGCGGCAAGGGCAATGGCCGCCGTGGGGAGCGAGCACGCCCCCTCCGCGCGTACACGCTGCCGTGGCGAGCCTCCGGGGCCCGTCACCGGAGCCGCCGCTGCCGCCGCCGCCGCCGCAACCGCAGCCCGCTCTCCGACCCCCCCTCACGGGCTGTAGCGGAATTTTCTCTTCCGACACCGCCTTCAAGATGGCGGCTCCCCCTCCCGGCAACCCCTTCAATCGTCCCCTGCAGCAGGCGCGGAGCCGTCGCCATCTTGTCCCCCGTCCCTCCCCCCCCCCCTCGCCGATATTTACATAGCGAAAATCGGCCCGGTCGGCCTGCGGCCTTCACCTCACGCCTGCAGCCTTAGCCACCTGGCCAGGCCTCGCCCTCGCGCAGTGCCCCGGGCTGGCCGCGGCATCGACTGGAGGCCCTGCAACCGCCTCCCGGGCCACCGCGCGACCCTCCCCCAATCCCCGCCCGTTCACAGAGCGCGCCTCCGCGGCCGCTCGGGGCAGCTGGGCTCCTCCCCGGGCCTAACTGCGGCCTCCTCGGGGCCTGCTCCGCGCCATACGCCACGCCGCTTGGCCTAGCGCGGAAGGGGGCCTCGCGGGCCGCCGACCAGGCCGGGACCAGGCCGCTGCACCCACGCTAGGCCCCGCGGCCGCGGCGAAACCCGGAACTCACCGGACGGACGTGCGGGCGGGCGGCGACGGTGGCGGGTGCTGCAGGCCGGCCTTTCTCTGGAGCACTGGGCCGGGCTCCGGCTGGTGGGGCGGGCGGAGGGAGGGAGGAGGGGCCGAGCTCGGAGCTGACAAAAAGCGGCCCAGCTCCCCGGCACGGGCCCGCCGTCAGCACGTCACGTCACCGCCCGGGAGAGAGACCCAGGAAAATGCGGAAGGGTAGTTAGGCCCCCTCCTCCGCCCGGTGGGTCCCTCTGGATCCCTGGGTCGGCGCCGCTTACGCCCCACTACCGGGAAACCTAGTGGCCTTGCTGCGGCGGGGTCTCCGGCGGCCGGAGTCACCGTGACAGCGCCCCCCTTCTTTCCACCTCCGCGCTCCCGCCCGTCGCCGCCGCTACACGCGCGCGGCTGCCACCGCCTCGGCCGTAAAGCCCGCGCGGGGCCCGACCCGGCCGGGCCGCCCCCCACCATGTCCCGTTGGGCCGCGGCCGCCCCCCGGGCCCTCCCCGGAGACCTACCGCCTGTCCGCGCCCGTTCTGGGCCAGGCGCCTGCTCGAGTTGTTTGCAGGCCCTCAGACCCCCGCCTGCAGTAAATGTGTTTTCTTCATCCCCGTGGCTGGAGAAGATAAATTTAGCAACCCCCGCCGTCCCCTGCTTTCGCTAAAAAAAAAAAAAAAAAAAAAAAAATCTTTGAAATAAAATGAAAATGGGCTTCCCAGTCTAAGTGGGTACGTGGGCAAGAGGAGGGGGAAGATGATCCTAGAGCAACTATACCAAACGGTTTATTATTTTTTTAAAATAAGCATTCGGCCAGAAAGCCTAACTGATTTTATTAGTTTGCGGGGGCGGGGAAAAAATGAGGAAAAGGGTTACATTTTGAAACTGGTTTCGCACATCGCAATGAACAGGAATTTTCAACGTATATTTTCTCTATACCTATATTTCAGAATTTGGGAGCCTAAGAAATGGAAGTCTTGTGTAATTGTTTCATAAAACATCAATTTTTCAAATTCTCAGAGAGAGGTTGAATTGGATATGGCTGGTTTTTGGGTTTGGGTATTTTTTGTTTTGTTTTGTTTTGTTTTTTTACAAATTTAAGCCTCTTAAAGTTGAGACTGAAAGGAAAACACGTATTTGATTACACAAAGCATTTATCAAACCCAAAATGCGCATTTTGCGTTTCAGTAGTTTAAATTTTTAGGCTCTTTCCATACTGAACTTGGGACTCAAACTACGTTTATAAGTTACTTGTTAAATGGTAAATAGCGTGGTCTTTAATCAGGAAGGCATGCTTTACTCTTCAGTTACCTATATCTTAGATAAAAACATTTTAAACAGTACAGAACATAAAAGTTTTAAAGCAAAGAGCATACTGGTGTGAAATGTTTTTAAATACAGAAGCCATAGATTTTAGTTTCCTGTCATAACTTTTTAAAGCTCTTAAATGCAAGTTGTCCTTTCCCTCAGCCATCTTACTAACCAAAGGTACAATAAGAAGAAATCTCTGATAATGTACTGGGTGGTCATTTTCCTCTCAAGGCTTCGGCTCTGATTTTTTTTCTTCAAGTGAATAAATTTCCTTTCCAAAATGCTAAATGACAATGTCTTCATCATTTATAGACAACCCGATCAGGGTATGATCTAGACTTTACTCACAGAAAGGTAAACACAACTGAGAAAAAAATGAGACCTACTTTGTATACTCACACTAACATAATTTTAAAAAACTGATTACCGGCATTTAAGTACTTAACAAGACCCTCTCTTTAATGGTGTGGTATGTCAAGAAGGGGATCTCAACATCCATGAACACAAAAACCTAATGTCAGCATTCTTGTTAGTTCTCCCATAATTACTGTCAAATACTAATAAGTCTACCAGTATAAAGCACTTAAGAAAAGTGTCAATGAACACAAATGAAAAAAAAAAATATTTCCTCAACTTAAAAGACCAGAAGCAGTTTTGATACTTTTAAAGAGCGGTTTGCCATTCCTTTTCGTGCATAAAGATTGTTAACTTTGATGGGAAACAAGGAAAGGAAAGCCTATTTCTATTAATTACATTAGATAAACTTTTATTGAAGTCCAATAAAAATATTCTATAGATCATTATACAAATGAAGTCAACTATACGGTTTTTTTTCTGAGTTTTCAAAAAATGGAAAGTAACTTCAAATCCATTTATGACAGGCTATAAAGAGCAGTGTACCACAAAAATCATTTTACTAGAAATACCCTTAACACAAAGTACTCATGATAAGTGAAGGAACAAACGAAGTGTGAACAGCAGAGATCAGAAATCATTCAATGTTATGGTATAATATAAAATATAGTGTATGAAAATATTCACAATAGGACCTTGAAAACACCTAAGATCACTGAAAGCATTTGGTGATGGAAGCACCGGGTGGTTAACCCAACACCTTGCACTTAAAGGACCTGCTACAACCTATCTTGCATTGATGCTTCATTCATTGTTTTGGTATTAAAGACCTATAGAATTCTGGGCACAGGGAATGGAAAGATGTGGTGCTTGCCCTTGGGGAACTCGGAATAAGGAGGTTGCCTGTGGCAGAATAAAAACATTCTTAAGTGCTTTCATTTTCTCAAATAACCACAATAAAGGGAAATTTGATTTAGGGAGATTGAGAGCAGAACATTTCAAAGCATATGCTGTGAATACAAAATAGATGGTTTCAAAGCAATCAAAGGGATTTTGGTTATGTGCTAAAATTTATTTGTTCCTTCAGAGCTGTTAATGTATATCGGATAGTTAAAAGCACCTACTCAAGGTTTTGACAGTGTTTTAATAACTTAACTAAAAATCCCTGACATGTTTATAGGTCCTTGAGCCAGAAATAATACAAGACCTTTCAATCATTTTCCAGAGAAAGATTAGTTAGAAAAGAAGCTGTTAAAAAAAAAAAAGCAGAAAATGCTGTTTGATTTTCACTCCACATCACTGACTACTGGAAATCCAAATAGGAGGCAATAAATTATCAGTTTATGAGAAAATACAGACCTTGGAAAATGTTGTGATAATTGATTGTTTTATATCCCAAAAGGTTAAAAAACAGCTAATTTTATTGAACTAAGCACAATCCTATAAAAATTAACCGTTTATCTGATACTTGATACTTAAGTCATCTTCTATGTGCTTATCTTAACATGAGCAAGTTGCATCCTGTTGGAATTCAGCTGGCTATAATTAACGCCAAGTAAGAATTTTTAATATGAGTCCCAAGGGAAATGATTTTTAAATAAACAATGACTGACAATTAGGTGATTTTCAAACAGTATTTTTCACATGAGTCATTAGTTGAATAAGACATTGTTTAAAGCCTGAAAATCATCAACAGCCAAATTCCACCTCATGAATTATAAATCACAGGACACAGCAAACAAACTAGCTCCACTGAAGATGTAAAAAGCAATATGTGACACCTAGAAACAATGACCAGTAATAATGAGCACACTAGGTGTCCAAATTGTTGCCTCTATGTACAATTTTCCACTAGAGGAACCACGGTTCTGGAAGAAATGATTGATTCCTGGGCTGCAGCCAAAAGGTACAAGGTGAACCAGGAATATCTCCTCATAACAGAAAGCTTACTGGGAGTGTGTCAAAATGTCTCAGGAGCCAATTTAAAGAGGTTCCAGTTGGCTAAAGATTTAAAAATTTGAATGTCACAAGAATAATTGCTATGGATTGAAATGCATCAAGTAGGTTGGTGAGTTTATAATGGGATTTTGTTAAATGATGAACTAGTGGTGATGGTTGCACAGCTTTGTCGAATATACTAGAAACTAGTCA